AAATTTAGATTGAAATTAAGGGTATCTAGATACTTGTATCAATTTTTTTAATGATCAGAACTGAAAACAAAATAAGAACATGTTCTTGTGAAATCTCAGACCCAGCAAAACTGACCTAAAAGAACATACATAAATAATTCCTGGTTGTTGGTGAAGGAATGAATGCTGGTGCCATGGGCCATTCGTGGTGTTTATCAAAGATAAAAGAGTTGGGGCTGGGGATTTGGCTCAGAAGTAGAATGCTTGCCTCGCAAGCTGGAAGCCCTAGGTTCAGTCCTCAACACTGAAAACAAACAAACAAACAAAAAAATAAAATAAAAGAAGAATTATCCCAGACATTCTTCTAAGATTGCATTTGACAAAGCGTTGTCAGATTCTGAAAAAGGTAATCTATACATATGTGTTCTTTGAAGAGTACTTCTGAAAGCAGCCTAGATGTGTATCAATAGCACTTAAATGGAAAGATATCTAAGATATGAATAGAAACCAGGGGTATTCTACCACTAAGCTACACCCTTTCCCCCTTTTTTCTCTCTTTCTTTCTTTCGTTCTTTGTTTCTATTTGGAGACAACATCCTGATAAGCTGTCTAGCTAGGTTTGAACTTGTGATCTTCCTGCTTCACCCTGAGTAGCTGGGATTACTGGTGCTTGTGCACAGCTGCACGGGACAGGTTGGGATTATGACACATGGCTGAAATAAAACGGGCTTGGGGCCAGGGAGGTGGCTCAGTGGAATAAGCGCTTCCCTGGCAAGCTCAAGAGCCTGAGTTCAATTCCCGGTTCCACCAAACAAACAAACAAACAAACAAAATGACAACAAACCAAAACTGGCTTAGTCAAGATAGGTGTTTAGTTCTTTCCTGAGCACTGCTTGGAGTAGGCAAGCTGGGGACTGGTGAGGTGGGATGTCCATATGCTGGGACCCAGCCTTTCTGTTTGTCTGTTTTGTTTATTGTATTTACTTTCATGTACTCTATCAGTACATGTTGGCAAGGCATAATGATTGCATTCATTACGGGAAGTTAGTACATGTATATAACACACCTTAATTTTTTAAATCTCCCTTCCCCATCTTCCTACCTCCATCTCTTGAAGGGGACCCCGTTGTCTATCTGTTCTCTCATCCTAAGTAATAAGTTCCTCTCTGAGGGTGTGCGCTCAGCCACTGAGTCCTTCATTGCAGTTTGGAAGGAGGACAGACATAAAGGCAAAACAGTTCTTCTGTACCTCACTGACTAGTGCTTAGTCACATGACTGTGCACAGCACAGAAAAGGCAGCTAATTGTAGTATTTTATTCTGCATCGTGGTCAGGGCTTTCTTGTCCCAGAGGAAAGGGATACCTGGTGTGGGGAGTAGCAATACCTGTCCCTGTGTGAACATGCTGTGCGTGAAGGCTCAGAATATTTCTGAAAGAAAGAATCAGAGGCTTATATGCAGCTTATGGTCAGTAGCATGCCAGTGGCTCAATGCTAATATTTTTTTTTGGTGGCAATAAAGTACAGTAACTTCTCGAGAGTACTGTAGGAGTGAACCTCAATTGTCCAGGTTTGGGGGGAACTACCCGCTCGGGCTCCCCTCCTGTCCCTCTCTCGGACAGGAGCTTTCTTTCTCTCAATAAATATATTCTGCTCATAAAAAAAAATTGTCCAGGTTTCATAGGAATTCTCCCACAATGTAGTAAGATGGATACATTTTCAAATTTTTAATGATTGTGGTATTCTGTTGGCTGAGGAGATAGCTCTGTGGCATAAGTGCCTGCCTGGCAAGTGTAGGTCCCGAGTTCTATTCCTGGTACTACAAATAAGGAAAAAAACAAAACAAAACAAAACAAAACAAAAAAAGAATGATTATAGTATTCTGTGATTTTTGCATTTTAGGAATAAAACTGGCCTTGATATACATGCTCAGGTTTCTGAGCCATAGTTATTAAGAACTTTTAATTAATGATGGGCCTGGTTGTCACTGAGAACTCTTTTTTTTTAAGGTATACTTAGAATTGGAAGTAGGGAAAAATGCATATCTGTATATTCACATATGTGCGCACAAAGATTTATGTATGTATTGGGCCACTTAAACTAGTTATCTGTCATAGCTATAGAACGTAATTAATTCAGTGAGGAAATTTATATTTAATAATTTTTGGTGAGAGCTGTCTTTTCATTCATATATAGTAATATGTTCATATGCTTTTAATAGATTTATCATTTTCTGTTGCTCCATACTAAGTATAAGCTAGTAACATGATTTTCAAGGTGTAATTTGGGGAGACATTGTCTATACTTCTCAGCTTGGCTTCTTTGTAATCTATTTTCAACCATTTGTGCAGCAATGACTCCAATGTGTGTACTTGGCTAAATGAATTAGAAACAATTTTTGTATCTATCAGCCTCCTCCTCATGTATTTGTGGGGCATCCATGAGCAGAGGGCATTGAATTGTTCTGTTGCAGTTAAGACAGTTGCTATGTCCTTCATCTTTTGCAGGACATTAATAATTATAATGAGTAGCATACTAGTCAAGGATAATGAAGCCCCACTCACCTGTTCTGGCCGGAGAGCCTAACAGCCAAATAAGCTTAACAGTCATCGGTGTGGTTGTGTCCACTTAGCAGTGTGTGTCTTTTCTGATAGACGTGCAGCATTTGCTTCTAATTCCCTGCCACATATTATTATGAGAGTTGGAGAAATACACTGTCTCGGTGACACTTCTTTTTTTGAGTCCTAGATTCTTTAAAACTCTTAATGAAAGATATGGACTCTCTATCTCTTTGCTCTTTATTATAGACACTAACTTCATACAGAGGGTCAAGAACATGCCAATTGCAACTCAGCATCCTCTGCACATGTATGCCTCATAAATACTCTATGAGGATCAAGCTGATAAACACAAAATTGCTTATAAATACCTATAGTGGTCCCTTACTATCCATGGAGGTCATGTTCTAGACACCCCTGCGATAAGTGAAAATCAGCAAAGTAGTGGCATTATACTTATTTTAGTATTCATACATATTTTAAGGCTTTATAAACCCTTCCCACACTCTTATAAACCTTTCCCACACTTTTAAAAGCACTTCTAATGTTGTTAGACATTTTCTAAACTTTAAACATATATAATTTTAGCAACATGCATACTGTACGATACTGCAAAATTTCATGATGTAGCAAAGAAATCTGTGATAAATAATTTAGATTAATATTTTTTCAAAACTCATGAAACCGTGAATCTGTGAAAGTCAAACCACAAAATAGCGAGGGACAACTGTATATTCAAATTGTCACTGCCCAAAAAGTTAAGAGT